TTAGATATCAAATTCGTTGCTTGTGTTTATGACACGCAGCTTTTCAGAGCTCGCATTGTTAGGTACAAACACGTGTAAAAGTAAAAACATATCCTCCTCCCTCTTCTTCTTCTCTGTGCCCTCAATGCCAGCGGAGCATGATTTGTGTTGCAGGCCCTGAAGGTCCAGAGTTACACAAAGCCAGAGCTGAAAGTGACTCTCAGAAGACAGAGGAACACCCCGCGGCCTGCAGTCATCTGGGATTACTGAGGTTGAAGAGGCACAATATCATATTGCCATTTCCTTGTTATTCACTCTTTTGCTGCTGTCAAAAGAGAGCTGTGTGTTAAGGCTACTAACACATATCTGTTTCAGCTCCTTGTCAGCACCGTAAGACTGACGTTTCAGGAGAAAAAAAAAAGAGAGCGAGCGCTTCGGTGACACCACCAAACCAATGGATTTCAATTTATCTCTAAATTAAATCCATTCAATATTGTCCATAAAAAATATTAGCGCTAGCAAGTGATCCTATTTTCTAATTTCATTAATCAGTCATGATTAATTGGAATCAATCAACATTCCTAAATATGACAAAAAATGTTTGTATTGTCATAACAGACAGACAACAACCATTTGTCATGACTTAGCCAAATGATAGCATTATTAATTTGGAAATTAATTGTTAAAATTTAGCTTCATAGAGATTTCGTTAATAACTGTTCATCTTTTCAGTGGCTTGAAAATCTCTTGAAGAGTTTCTTTCAAACTTCAGTGATGTCTTAATAGTCTACAGTCCCTCATAATCTATACATCAACTGTGTCAGTCATAACCTGTAGAACAACATACCAGCCTGCACTCAGTGAGACCAGTCTGACACAAGTCGAGCGTCTGACCTCAAGCTCGACCACAGATGCATGCTGGGCACTGAGATGATAATCTGATCTAGAGATCAGATTAAGATTAGAAAAAGATGTAATGCAATTATTTCTACAGCAAGTAAAGTCAATTATATTATTATATTATACTATAAGGAGATGATTTTAGAAGGATAAGGTAAAGGATATGTTTTACAATTGTTACGGAAAGCAAGTGTGTGAAAGAGTAAATCACACACTTTGGTGACATTGTGGAACAATTTCATTTTGTTGTTAGTTACACTTCATCTCATCTTGTCATCTCAGAAAAAGGTTTGTTTTCTCTATGACTTTTGACACATTTCTTCCATCTTCCTCCAAAGTATTACCAGTGCTATGTTTAAGTGTCTGACTCAACCTGAGCTATAACAGACCACTGCAAACAGGAACATCACATTTCATTGCCATTTACAACTTGTATCTCAGTGATTCTTACTCTCATCACCAGTGTTAGCACTTTAACCTAAATCCAACATGTCTAGGTCTCATCACTCCTGTCAGATTATCCAACTCTTTCACCTTCATTCATCTCTGTCTACAAAAACACACAAAGTAAACAAAACCTTCATGACTCCATGAAGCTGGAACGTTACTCTCGTATTTTCCATCACTTTACTACTACATTAATGACATATTTTAAAGCTTCTTCAAAAAATTCAACAACATTTATTTTTTCCAAACCACCAGTCAGCAGTAGCCTGGAGTCATAACAGTGTCACGTCCTCGGGACAAACAGACGTGCACTCCTGTGAGAGTCCACTGGAAAACGTCTCTCTTCTTTGTCTCTGAATGTGAGAGCATCACATGTTGACACACTGCTTTGTGGATTTGTCGCTTCACTTAACTCAGATTGCACGACGCACAAATTGAGCAAACTTTGGGTTGAAAAGTTCAACAGCCATCACCAGCAGAAACTAACCCCATTTCCTCAGCCTCTGCCTCATCCTGCTCCTCTGAGTGAGAAATTACCTCAAATATTCATGGACAGTTTGCCAATGTCTCACAGATTCACACTTTTCTGCTACATTTTCTTTCTGGTCTGGGTGTACAGCATCTGGCTTAGGTCCGAATATAAAGTATTTTCATGGCAGTTATTTTTTTAATTTATTTTGAGCTAACAAAATTAAACATGTTAATCCTGTTAATTTGTGATAATTATTCATATTAAAACTAAAAAAGGTGAAAGGCCAGAGTATGTGTCCTCCTAAATGAATGAAGTGAAACGCATTAAAGTATTGAAGGAGTACACTAGTTTTTTTATGCAAAATCAAATATTGTTAATATCATGTACCGACCAAAAAATTGAGCTGTGAGAAGTAACATATGCACAGCAGCAGTGTAATTGTGCCAAAACAAGCTTATACATAGCCTATCTACCTCTAGTTCATTTTTGCTCATATGTGTACAATACAAAGGTTTTATATTTAAAAACAATTTAAATACATTTAATGCTAATTGCATTTTTTTCCTTCATTATTACCCTGTGGAATTTTTACTTCTTCACAGGTAAAAGTAAAGCTAACACTCAATCTCAGTTATCATGGTTTTTTTTTTTTTTATTCCTGTTGTTCTGGTTTCCCTTCTTTGCGTTTACTGAGCCTCCAGCTTCCACAGGTAAAAAGAAGCAAAGCCAGGGCTCAGTTCACCTTGACAGCCTGGCCCCAGAGAGAGAGGGGGAGAAAGAGGGAGAAGGAGGGAAGATCTGGGTTCAGAGAACCAGACAGAAGAATGCTACTGAGGTGAGGAAGAGGGTGAAAGAGAAGAATGGGAAAAATAAAGAGTGAAGCTCTGGCTTCTATTCCACAGCTGACGAGTGACGAGGAAATGTGATACACCTGTGGGAAAAGTACACAGAGAAAGGGATGTACTAGTCAAGATGTATCGGAGTAAAAAGTAGGGGTGTAACTGGACAGGAAAACCACGGTATGTACCCCAGTTCTGACATCACGGTTTGGTACAGTTTTGGTATGAAAAGAAATGTGGAGTAAGAAAAAATGTCCAAACGAAAAGAAAAACATATATTTATAAAAACAAAAATATGTGTATTAGGAGTTGTATGACTTCAATTCCACTCTTTTATATGGCTTACGGCTTTGGGGTGATTTAAATTTGACTCCTTCACATACCACTAGGGGCAGTCCAAGTACCTGAATTGGCACACATTCCATAGTTTGAGAACCTGTGGTGTAATCAATACTAATATGAGGCCAACAAAGTTTAGATTATGATGTAATGATGTAATATAATAAGAAATGAACGATAGAAAACATTACGTTTCGCTTTGAATATTTCATTTGAAGCACACATTTACCATCCAATGAAAGAGCTTGCAACTAAAAAATAGCCAAACATTAGCATAAATTAGCTAAATGGCACTTATCCTGAAAACTTAGCCTAAATTAGTTAAGAAAAAGTTGTCACAAACTATATAGACATACAGGATGACATAATATAATGTAACCACTTCACTGTCACCAGCTGCTCATTAATAAATAAATAAACCCAACACTAGGGGTCTCTAAATGATTTTCAGTCAACAGTCGGATAAAAATCAATGATATTAAAAAACCCACACTTAATCAGTGTAATTTGTGGTATTGTTACATAAACAACAGCCTTGTTGTGTTAAATTACTAACAACTCTGGGCATGTTCTGTACCATTAATCCTGCAAAAAAAAAAAAAAAAAAAAAAAAAAAAAAAAAAAAAAAAAAAAAAAAATCAAAACCTGATAAAGAAGTTGCAGAAGCTCACCTGGGACAATTCTGTGGAGCCAAAAACTCATGTCACTTTAATACCTGGTGTATATTTAACAACTTTTGCACAGCTTTGGCTCCAGAGTTGGAGGCGGCAGAGTGTTGAAATCACATGCCTGTCACTCTCTGAGGTAGCACGGTGTGTTTGAAGTTGAGCAGCGCCGTATCGTAATTCTGTTCTACTGGAGATTTGAAAATCCTTGTCCCTGAAGTATTTTTACACACTTGGAATCCTTTTTTTCAGTCATTTGGAGCATTAAAAATAAGCCACAGGTCTGGACTTACTTCTTACCTTAAAAATTACATCCAGTAATTTATCACCTTTTCCACACACATATATGTCCAACCTCTGAGTGTAACTGTTGAAGATATTCACAGTTACCCACTCTCTCTCTCCCCATCTCCTCCCCTCACCTCTACGTTTAGCCCTGGGGCTGGATATCTATAATTCATCTCCTATCTGGCGCTCACAGTCTCACTAGCTGTTCCACGCAGTCATTGCCCACTTCACAGGGTAAAAGCGCCTGCTGCCGCTCGCTTTAATACAAATCTCAGAGGGCACGCAGATATTGATTGTAATCCAGGGTAAACAGTCTGTTTGCATAATCACACATTTCACAACTGAGCCTCGCAGCCAGTGAAGCTGCAGAAAGCTTCAGGCCTTTGGCTTCTGCATGGAAAAAACTGGTATCCCAGTCTGGCACCAACACAGGCAACAACGGGGGTCTGACCCTGGACCAAATTAAAAGCAAATATGTTGCAAAAAGTAAACAAAACAATAGGTTTCCTTCTTCTGTGAAAGGAAAAACAAGAAGGAAAAGCAAACGAGGGTTTGACCTCATTTTCAACTTCCATACAGGATGTGAGCCAAGCATGCAAATCAGGCTGTGTATCGTGTTTCCATACAGCAAGTTATTCCCCGTTCCCGTCTCGATGAAAGAATAAAAACTCTTCATATGAAGAGATATCTGCAAAACTAACCAACTTTTTGGAAATGAGTGTTGTGTTTTGAAAAAAAGAAGTTAAAACTTAACAGTGTCGAAATGAAATATTTGTAATACCTTATTATAACTACAGCAAAGACTAGGATGTGATGCTTTTACAACTTTGATCATTTGTTGCATTATATAAGTTTTTTTTTTTTAATTTTGCTTTAGTTTTTAAATTTACACTATCCTGCATGGTATTTTATTTTGAAAAACCACTTCCATACACTCCACTGTGTAGACTACAGTGTAATAATAACAGAAATGTATAAGTTAATAAAACATAATATTTATATTTACTTTATATATGTAATAATTTAATTATATATGATCACTTTATTGTGTTTTTGTTATGTGCAATTCCTCTCTGCACCCTAAATTATCCTGTATCAACCAGTCTGTGATGCAAATAGTGTTGGTGACCACGGTTGTATAGGAGCTGAGGTAAGAACTTCACTAACTCCCACAGGTCGTACGTCACATCATCTCATGTCTGCTCGTCAGTTGTGGTGATCGTGTGTCTGCTTCACTCTACGTCTCACCTCATCACTCAGAAACCACAGGGAACATCAAAGACAAGTCTCCACTGGCAACAAGCTCTCCAGTCCACACAAGTCCAGTCCATGGAAGGAGAACTCTCTGAGGGGGAACCTGGGTACGTTGAAAGTTCCACATTCATGTCACGGATCACCAGAGTCCTGCATATCAATGTACAAGTATTTATAATTCATATACTGTACAAGATGTATAGTATAGCAATACATAGGAAGAATATACTTCACAGATGCATTTGTTCACATTCCACTGTGGTGCTGTCTTCACCCCAGCTGCCTCTAAGCCCTGACCTGGGATCAGCTAAATTGGTTTGCACTTGGCCTGCTTTGTAGTCAAGGTGAAATTTCTGTGAACTTGTTCCAGATCAACTTGGCTTCCGACCCCCCCGCTCTGTGACAATGTTTTGTCCTTGTGCTACCCTGTGAAGGTCAGGTGGATTAGCACATGCCTTTCACCTCCGCAGGAGCACAAGTCATGACCTGAGTGCTATTCTGAGGGTGCCACATTTCTGCCACTGTCGTACAGACAGGTATCAGCTGAGTGTGGCTGAAGAATTGTTTAATAATAACTAGTCTGACAGAATAAAGGAAGCTAAGGGAGATTATGCAAATCCGATAATATCATAGTAAATATTCGGTTTGAGCTGAAAATGTTCACAAGGTCATGTAGAGAAATATGGGAAGATTACAGTCAAGTTTGTCACAATAACTGTTTAGACTTTTAGAGAATTTTAAGATTTAAACCATGTATGTTTTTAGTTCTCAATCTTACTGTAGCTGTAGCTGTTAAGAAGCTGTTATAGTACAAGATTCTTGGCTGAATATAATGAAACTAAAGCCTCTGACAGAGTAAACAGTTTCTGTTTAGGAGTCTCAGAGAACCCCAACTGTACTGCTCTTCCTCCAACACTGTGACCACAGTAACTTAAATTAGTGCACAGCTCAAAAAACCCAACCAGCTTGTCAATCTTGTTGCTTTGGGTTAGCAGGCTTACCAGTCACTCTGGATGGACAACTGTGAAGTATAGGAATATTTTAACTTCACGATCTTAACCGATCCAGAACAAAGTTGTGTTTTAACCATAAATGTATGAGTTTTGATTAAAAAAAAGATGGAATGAAGTTTTATCACAATGCTAAAGCAAACAGGAGGAGGACAAAACCACTTGTTACTAGATTCAAATACTTTCCTGAAAGTTTACTTGCTTTATTCTGGCTCCATAAAACATTCAACTTTATTGATTTGATCTAAAACTATTTAACAGTTTGAGCAGCAGTTAAGTTGTAAAGTTTCTCCATATATAATTGTTTCTCAGTGATGTAAAGTCCCATCCCACATCCACAGTCACCCCAGTCCAACTGCTCAGTCAGGTGAGTATTCTAACCTTGAAGCTTTGTCCAGATGTCCCAATGCATACGTCCATACGGAATGAAAAAAACACAAGAGCGGACTGGGCGCTGGTGTGTCTTCTGTCCAAGTGGACCTAACAGCTGAGCTAATAGATGAGCTGCCAGATGGACAGGAAGGCTGGATCGTTCAGAAGTGTCTTTATATATGCAGCTGCGTCTGGAGAGAAGAAGAAAAAGAAAAAGTGTTTGGATTCAGTGCAGAGGAGTAAATGTTTCCTTTTGTCGGGCGGGCCCATCAAAAGAAGGCCTTGATAAAAATCTTGGAACGCAGAAAAAAAAAAGAATTCACATCTGAAAGCACTTTTTTTGGGCTGCTCCATGTGCTCAATTTGCTTTTGTTTCCAAAATGGAATTTATTACAGGTAAACATGCAGTGGTCCGCAGGAAGATCAAAAAAGAGTTGTTTGGGAAGAATGAAGGTTGTAACAATGTTAATTTGTACATTGTTTTGGCACTTTGAAGTGAGTGGTATGAAGGGGTTCTGGGTAATTTAATACCTCTATGTATTTGATAGATTGTGAGAGTCATTAGTAAGAATGACACATTTGTTAATGTTTAACTGGCTAATATACCAGTATATAAATACAAGAAAATCTGCTCAAACTAACAGATCTGATCAGTAACAAGTCAAACAGACACCTGGAGGGACAAGTGTGTCCCAGATGGCTTTAGATTTAACACTTAAGGCTAATAATTCTACAAACGACAACCACATTCATTTTACTATTATTAGAAGAATTACATTCATGACTGTATGAATGTAATAAAGTAACAAGTGTTTGGAGAATTCACGCATTTCTTTGGTTTGAACTCTTTCTCATTTAATTCATAACGAGACTGGGTCTGATTTTTTTTTTCTTTTGCAAGCGCTCCAGATGTTTCTGGGTAGAAACAGTTACCAGAACAAAATAGACCCAACAGGTGTTAGTTATGCTTTAGGGATTGCACAGCTGCAATTAAAACTCAAAGAAGAGAAAACAAACACGGTGGATTTTGTAGATTAGCCAAGCCTCGGAATTCTTTTGGTTTGAGGTGTGTTTAGTCAAAACTCTGGCGCTCAACTTGTAACCAAAACTTTCACCAAACACATCACACCTGTCATGCAGAAGCTTCACCGGCTTTCTATAAAACCACACAAAATATTTGTATTATTAATTTGTTTTTATTACTAATACCAGAAATATCAGGTCATCAAACTGGGCACTGCTACTGTGTTGATGGCACCACCTGCAGGGGAGGTCTGGAGTGCATTTATTTCAGTCCTACAAGCACAGATAATGTGAGTAGTAGTGACTATGCAATATAAAGTGGGAAATGCTAAATCTTTTTAGCATGTCTTAGCTTTGTGGTTACAGTTTCTCAGTCATTTTACAAATTATTCATTACAGTATTAGTTAAGTGTTACATGTATTTTAAAAGTCTGTTTTTAGTCTGACCATAACAAGGGATCAGTTTTCCATAAGATTTTGTAAACAAAATGATTAAGCCTCATTCTTCCAAAGCTGTCAGTGAACACAGCAGCAGAGAACACTCTCAGATCTGTCTACAGTGATGTTTGACCCGATAGGAATCCACAGATAAGACAAAAAAGTTGCAGCACACTGTGCACGCTGAGCCAAGTGAGTCAAGAAACCACAGGAGTGTCAGAGAAAGAAAAACAACAAAAACACGCTGCTGACATTGCAGCTGCTCGCTCTCGCACGTCCTCTTAAACCGTCTTTAGCATATTTGTGCCGCATGTTTACTTAGGTATACGCTACACGCCAGTTCTCCTAATCTCTACCTGTGTGAAAGAGTCGATCAAGTGGCAGTCAGGGGATGGTGAATGATGTGTGTGTGTGTGTGTGACACAGGAGTGTTGATGGGTTCTGTCAGTGTAGCCAGTCACTGACAAGGAGAGAAACCTGCCCAGTGAGACATGGCTCCTCTCTGTCTCCTCAAATGGAATTCCTGGGAATTCCAGCCAACTCAGATTGTTATCAGATCCAAAGACACCCTGCCAAAGTTTTCTCTTCGTCTTTCTCTTTTTTTGTTTCCAATGGGCAAGATATGCCATGCACCGGAGCCAAGCAAATCGCTAATTATTTCTACAACGTGTAATTTTAGGTAAAATGATCAGTGTTGAAATGACAATCTTAACAATTTGAAAAATAGATAGCTGTAGCTATCTATCTAAAGACAGTGGTTTATACATCCGTTTCTGTTAGCAATAGTTAGCCAAACATTTTCTACATTGCGCATGAATTTAATATTGAAGAATTGAAGTTAATCGATAAAGTACGACTGTAGGACTGCAAGGTCAAATTTTAGGCTAAAGGTTGTAGGCCTGCATTATAAAGATGTTATGTTGGTTATTAATAGCTTTGCTATTATAATTGTCTGTAATCCTAACTTTGTGCCTGACGTGTTTGAAGAATGCTCCTCATCTTTGATGCTTGTTTGTCTGTCTGGAGTCTTTAGATGTTTTATGTTCTCTGTTGTAAAACAAATTACTTCCTGGAGAAGGTTCAACATTTGAATATGACTTTAACGTTTGGTTTTAGTCTGCAGTTTTCTGATATTTGTTTTGGTCGTCTTTGGAGCATATAGCTCCTCTTCCTCCCCTTCAGGGGGTGCTCTGAATGCAGGCTAAATGTCCTATGAGGTGACAATTTTAAATCTATCGTGGTTCCGTTGAGCGGTACACCTTTAAAAAATTATTAGTTTGTTAAAAAGATGTGTCCCATTGAAACCACATGGTCACATACCCACTAGCTGTTGACCATTACAATAACTCTTTAAACAAGTCTTGAAAAGAGCAGCTGAAATTTTAATACATTAAATAGTAACGATTTAAGTTTTCTCATGAAAAAGCTCATCTTCCTTCACATAATGAACCTCAAAAGACCGTGGCAAAACTCTGCAACAAAAATACAGTGTTTTTAATGACCTATTGGCCAATGACACTTTGACCCACAGATGATAAAACTCAGGGATCAAACTCTTAACCCTCAGATTAGATGCTGGCCCAACTCTTCTTTAAGCCTTTTGTTAATGTGGATTTTTATTCCAAAGCTTCTTCTCTCTGTCCAGTTTTAAATTTGCTTATCAGGGTTGATTCACTGTGGTAGAAGTATAAGCAAGAAAGTATCTGTTAAGTTTCTCCCCCAGATATTTTTTCCCCCATTTTCTCCTTAGATGTTCTGAATCCTTCCCAGACCAGATCAGATATTTAATCCCTCCAGCGAGTTTTGGGCTTACCCTTGGGTCTCCTCCCGGAGAGTTGAGCCTGGAAAACATCCAAAGATAGCAAGTCGGGATGAATCCTAATTAGATGCTTGCACCACCTCGAATGACTCCTCTTGTCAGGGGGAAAAAGTGGCTCTCCTCCAAACTCCTCATTTAACATCGACATCTGAGGTCCAGTCATCCTATGGAGGAAAAATAAACGGACTGTTTACTTTGTTTGACAGTCGTTTAGACCAAATTCTTTGTGGTCTGTGCTGATTGACAGACCGAACGATGTTGCTGTTCTGCATCACAGGCGCTTCAGCCCTGCCAGCAGATTCACCTAAACTGTACGGAAAGCCACAACCTGATAAAGATCTGATGAATCTGATAGTACTCTATGTATCTCATGCTCCTGCAGAGTTTTGTCATTTCTCCCCTCAGGGGACAATTCAAAAGCTGTTTCCACATCTGGCCTGAGTCTTCAGTCTACAGTTTTTCCAAAGTTCCTCTGGGCAAATCAGAAGTTCAACTTCATTTTTTCCTCATAAATTGGATTTCCATCTGCATCTGCGAAAGCTTATTGTTGGGAACTAATTTTCTGCAGTTATGCGATTCACATTTTTAAGTCAGGCTTGAATTGCCCAATAATATCTGGTTACCATTATCTGATTTTGTTATCATGAGGCGTTAAACAGTTTCCTGGACTGCAGTGGAAAGACCAACCTACATGATAAGTCCTCAAGAAATGCAACTATCGCACCATCTCTGATGCTTTTGCACCGTTCCTTGATAACAGCCTGACTGAGCTTGCATATGTCAAAGAAAGAAAATGCAAAAAACGTTGTCATTTCTGCACAGAACTCAAGCAGCATCAGATCAGAGATTTGATTGGTTTTATTTGGCAACACAAGAAGTAGTAGTAGTTAAAGTAATGCTAAAAGGCTAAGGTTAATTCAAAGATAAAGGCCTTAACTCATCAGCTGATCATTTAACACAGTAGTTGAATTTGTTTTGCAGTGATCCCACTGACATTGAGCCAACTTCATTGTGACCCAGAACATGGACATCCCTGCTGCTATGAAAACACAACAGAATTACTTTGATATGCCTGGCATATCTCAAGCTTGATTAAACAATACTGAATCAAAAAGTCAGAGATGTTCACCAGATTAAAATACAGACGACCACTATGTTTGATACAGTCTCGATCGGCGGACAAGGACAGGTGTTGTGGAGTATGAGGATTTCAAAATCCCTGATATAAAAGATAAACATGGAGTACAAGGTCGTTACCGGGCCATGTTGACTTTTGTTTATAGGGTTTAAAGTCACACTATAGTTCCAGGGATCTTTTACTCTGTTGAACATACGATAGCTTCACCCTCAAACATTCTGATACGGATGAGAAAAGCTCCACAGAAAACCTCCGGGAGAGGAGAAGCGGAGAAAGGATACAGTTCCAGGTCAGACGTGTAGCAGATGTCATAGAATGTCATGACTCTGCTACTGTGTGGGGGATTTACTTGCAACAGGTGAACATAGCAAACAATGGACTTCCTTGAGCTGGAGTCGTGATTTATTACCTTCTGAAATGATGATACCCCATCAGCCAACATTCTACCCCTTCAGCGATATGACCTCAGGATCAAAAAGGGTTTATCGACGTGCAGGCGCACTGTAGAGCTGCTGTGTTTCACCACGGTGAATGAGGTTGTTGTTTTTCTGCTGGTGCAGACAGGAACATCTGGAGCAGCACTGCAGAAAAATAAGAGGCTGACGTGAGCGTCTCGTTTTTAGCAACAGATCAGGAAAGGTATGCATACCTTGAGGGATGTTAGTGGACAGATTTGTTTTTGGACTTTGGGAGGAAATGTGTAGACACAGAAATGTGTTTGCGTGTCCACGTGCATTTTCAAACTGCAGTGACCTAGATGGAAACTATGTAATTATTTGGAAGTAAACATGGTTTTAAGAAGTAACCGATTCATGGTTTCAGAAATATTGCTGAGATTTACTTCTGAAGGAAACTCCAAAATAACATAACACTAAATAATAATGAGATACAGTTATATTCTTGTTTCCTGGTCTAATTTGATTAATTATATTTCAGCTTGATGCACACAGTGGAAAAGTGGTTGGTGCTCTCAACTTATGACAAGATTAACTGTATTACCCCCAGTGGTAACTGATGGTATTTTTGTATGATTTTTTTTAAATTCTGCATTTTTTCATAGGCGCCCTTCTGTCACCCAAGAACACCTTACAATAAATAAAAATAGACAGACTTTTCTTCTGTTGTGTGTTTGTGTTTTTTCTCCACTCTGGTTTCCTCACACTCCAAAAACATGCAGATTAAGTTCACTCTAAATTGACCACAGGTGTGAATGAAATTGTGAAGGGTTTGTCTCTACTGTGAATGTAGTCCCTTAATGGACTTGGACTTGTTTACTGCTAAGTGTGTTCTTAGCATTGAAATACTTCTAGTACACTTCACCCAATGTCAGATGTTGATGAGCTATTTTTGTCTATTAGATGTTAGCAGCGGTCCTCAAACTTTTTCGTACCAAGGACCGGTCAGTTGGTATCAGCCGTTACTGGAGACCGGTAAAACCAGAGTCTAAATGACCTATTGTTCTGAAACACTGCCAGATTATCTTTTAATTAAAAAAGTAAAGGGATATGACTGGATTCTTTTGTTGAATGAAATAAATTAGTAAAACTGAAGTACATCTTTTCACTGTGTCCCACCGCAGCCTAGTACCAAATGACCTACGGACTGGTACCGGTCCCCAGACCAGGGGTTGGGAACCCCTGTGTTAGAGGACTATGGTTCATAAAAAGTATCTGATAGGTTGGTGGTATAATCTTAAAAAATAACCAGAATCCAACATTCAGAATGTCAGTATTAAGTCACCTATCTCTGTGACTCGATTTAAAAATTTCCCTTTGCAGCAATGTTACCTTTCTGGATTTTTTGTTTTTTAACTTTCAGACCATTTTTCCGCCCTACGTCTCTTCAGCTTCTCGTCTTCTAAGATTTTTCATTGTGAGATAATTCCGACTTCCTCCTCTTTTTGACACACGGCTTAGACTGTAATGCAAATGTGATGACAGTGTGACAACAGGGGCATGAAAAGACGCCGTTCCCTCAGGAAGTTTATTCAAGCTGTCGAGGGTTCGTACAGTTTTTCATTGTTTGATAAAGGGCCATGAACCCGATCCAATAGAGTGGCTCGATACACTAACAATCGGATTAACAAGAAATATTAGACCATCTCTACAGGAGTAATACAGCAGGGACTTGTTATACAATATACTGAGAGATGCCTTAGTAGGTGAGGAACAAGGTACACGCTCCATCTCTTAAAGGCAGAGTAGGCAGCAATTTCCTTAAAAAAATACTGCAATACTGAACTGTGACTGTTGATTCCCCCCTTTCTTTTGCAGAAAATTCATTTGATAAAAATATTTACTGGGAAATCGTACCAGTAGGTGACAGTATTGCAATTCAAAACTGTTGTAAAAAGAAAAAGAAGAAACTCAAAAGACCCAGAAATAATCAACTCATATGAGAAGGCTAACTACTATAAAAAGAAAATCTTTGGATTTACATGTTAGTGTTGTTAAACATGCTTTCAACATTGTCAGGTGAGAAGTAGTGGTTGAAAGTTTTCTTGAAGATCATACACAGTTCAGTACAGTAGTATTCCCTTTGTCTGTCCTGTCTAAGAAAAGTAGAGAAATGGATCATTCTTGGTTATGCTTATATATTATTTAGTTTGAATTTGGGTTTTCAAACTCAAATAAAGATCTAAAATATTTGTTAATGTTAATAGAGTCTCAATAATCAGAAAGCAGATCAACTCTGAATCATTCCTTATCACTTAAAATCATGGGTGTTTACATCTAAATAGAAATATCAGGTGGTTTGTTACTTTCAGGTATTTGTATTCTGCCAAAGTACTAATTCTTCTGAGCCTGATAATGTCATTCAAGGTGAAGAAGTTACTGATTCAACAGGCTGAAAAGGTGAAAAAAGTCATATAATTAATTTTAGTTATGCTGAAAGATTGAATTAAATTTATTTTGTTTTTTAATTCAATTTTGTCTTCATGTTTTACTGCATTTGACATGTTATCAATGTTATCATGTTATTCAATTACTAAATGTTGTTCCATTCTCTCCCTGATGATTTTTAAGTTTTGTTGTGTACATTTCTAATGAAACGTCTATCTGCTGTTGAGAGAGCAGTGATATTGTTCAAAAACACAGACTAAAACATAACATAGACAACGAGAGCTGCAGGCTTGTGTTCATCACCAGAATTAAACTCTAAACACATGCCTTTCAACAATTACTCTGGCACCTCACCAACCACAAAATGTATCATAAACCTCCCTTCCTTATATTTAAGAACCTCTATAACTTAGCACCTACTAATCTCCTCAACCTCATTCAAATCACATAATTGCCCATACCCTCCCTATCTCCCGTTTGATACCCCTCACCTCACCTCCTGCTCACTGAAGATGTTTGTTTTTAGATTACCCAGGGGCTACAAGCTACAAACCATCCCTGAGCCTTAGTGTCTCAAGTTCAAATTCTGCATAGTTATGTCACTTCCTTGTCTTAAGTCGAATGTTGTGGCGCCCCAATCAATTAACAATATTAATATAATTGGTTATAATGAGCAGAATAATGGGACTCAGGGAATTTCTTATCATAATAGTGTGTAAACATGTGATTTTAGGGGCCTCACATTTGTAAAAACGAGTGATGACAGACGTTCGTTTTTTGGGGGGTTTTTTTTTGCTGCAGCACAGACTGGTGTAACTGTGTCCAGCTCCACATCACTGCTGTAATCAAGGCTCAATTACTGTCAGTCTGTGGTGGTGAACAGCCAGAGACAGAAAGTCCAGCAACTCTGGAGTTCAGTACGATGCAATTAGAGGCTCGTTGGTTGAGGCTAAGTCAAAATGACTCATCTGACCAAATGTGAGGACAGCAATGAGACAACATGAGATGCTCTGTGCAGTGACATTAACTGTAATGTGTACATGAATACATGACTGGGTGCTTTTTGTGTGCAGGCACGAATACTTGTGAATGGTTGCAGCTATTTTCCTGTAAGAGTAAAGAGACAGACGTTAAACCAGGATGACAGTGTGTGTCTTCACTGTGGTTGAACTGCTTTTATTACCCTGTCATTATTCTCACTGAATAAGTTTGATGGCAGCCTGAAATAAACAAAACTGTAATGGTTTGCCCCGCTGAAACTCAGTACAATGCCACAGAACTTTGCCAGAGTACTGTATGAGTACAGGTGAATTTCACCATTTCAATTTCTAAAGTACTAACTAAAGTACCAAAGAAATAACTAGTTTAAATATAGAAGAAACCACTTTGTTTGTTAAATGTTTTTTTTAAATGCAGAGAACAGAATTCCAGATACATGAGCATTTAGCTAAATTAGACAACCATACATTAGATAATGTCCAAAGGCTAATAATTAGCTTTGCCATTACTACTAATGATTAGCAGGTGTCTCTTTAATGCCATATTATTGACGTAAAATTTCTGAAGTAATTTGGAATATATTATTTACCAGTACAAGTATTATTTACCAGTTCAAGTATTATCTACCAGTACAAGTACATACAGTAAAAAGAAAATCAGACACCAGCAGAAGCAATAAAGTGCACATCAGCATTTTTTGTGATTTTTAAATGTCATTGATGATACTGCAGTTTATTTGGAGATTAATGTATTCTCTACGCTGCAACTCATATTTAAAAAAGTAGATTTCCTGTTCCGGCGTTCACCTAATATATTTAAGTCATATGGCATTTGGATCAGTCTATGGGGCTGGAGACGTCATAAACTATATCCAGTGAAATAAAAAAGTTGGTCTAAATTTAGGACAGGATTTTCCCAGGGGAGGTTACATGAATGGGAGCATTCAGAGTACAGTACAATTACAGACACAGACTGTGGATACTGTCTGTACAGTTTGTTCTTTACAGACATAAAGAACAGATGAATGAAACGACTGATTGGAGAATTCATCAGGGTTCAGAATGGGATTTTGTTTTTCTGTGTGTCTGTGCAAGTACAAAAATAAAAATACTGATAATGTGCCCTTATTTAAAAAAAAAATAGCTCCTGAACAAAAAAATAAAATGGAAAAAAAGGAAATCAGACATGCCAGAAATTAATAAATTAATCTGTTAAACTAAAGTCTTACCTTGGAGTGGACAGCTCCTCGAACTTGTGTGACTCAAGTATCTTGAAGACACATTCAAAGTTAAGGGAACTGTGAAAGAAAAAGGGAATTAATGACATTAATGACAATTATTAATTTATAGACACATTTTTCTCTCAGTCACTGAACAAATTTAACATAAATGACAACAGAAACTACAAACAAGGAAAAATCCTAATAATGGATTTTAAAAAACTGCTAAAATCAACAGATAGATTTGGTGGAGTTGGAGGTTGTGAGTGCTTCATGAAGGTGGTGGCTTTTAAGTTTACAGTTGTTTTGTTAGACAGAGAGCAGAGGAACCACAACAACTGTCATGGACGCAGACGCAAATCTGCCTCTAATATGTGAGAAGAAGTGCCAGTCTCCAGTTTACCTCTACTTTTTCCTTCTTTGCTCCTCTTTAAATCTGTTCCGGCGCCTAACACGAGCAGAGACAGGCAGATATGTAATTACGCATGTTAACACACAAACAGAAGTACAGTGTAATTAGAGAGCAATTACAGTAGTGGAAGTCAGTTATCATCAGCCTACAGCTATAAGCCCCTAACATAACATCCTGCCTGTGAGGAGAGAGGAGAGGAGAGGAAAGGAGAGGAGAGTAGGGGAGGAACAGTCATGCCTTTCTGCACCTCCTGACACATGGAAGAACATTCCTCCTGTGTTGCACTGGAATATCCTGCACTGCTATGTGATAGGGATGCTTGACATTACAGCAGTGGGGATGAAAGATCACCGTCCCAGAGGGTCTGATCAGAGGAAGGAGAGGCGTGAGAAAATGAAGTTCAGACCAGACTGAGGTGTTTGGAGATTCGGACAGGACGGTTACATATAGAACAGCTGTGAGAGGATCGACCTCCTCCTCCTCCTCTGCCTCTCTCTTCTTCAAAACCCCTGACCGCCAGACTGATGGTTACTGTCCACCTGTTCAAGCTCTTATACAAACAGACCGTGCTTCCTCCGCAGCTCGTCCAAGGCTTCTCAGTGCCCTGGAATGTTTCACAGATCCACAGATGGGGCTGCAAGAGAGACAAAATTTAGACCTCTTTGTTCTCTTACTGTCCAAACCTTTCTTTTTTTTTTTGCAGTCTGAGTCAAACAGATGTTGTTGAAACACCCAGAGGTCAACTGCTCTTCCTGTAAACAGACATTAAGTACAAGATACAGTTGTAGGCAAAATGCTACAAAACATTTAACAGTTCAGGCTACAACGACAGGGTAATTAGCTTAAATGTCTGGCTAAAGTAAACAAAAACCATGAGGCAGATACATTTTAGGCCCAAAAAGTCCATAGTCCACAGTTCATACAAAGCAAAGCTAAAGAAAAAAAAAAGACTGGCAATGGTCATGGTATAGGGCAAAA